TCTGCCCAAAGTACTGCTACACTTCTTCCTGGCCATGCCGTGGTCTTGCACCGGGCAGGGGGGTAGGGGGGAAGGTGAAGATGCCAGCCATGGAATTTCTCAACTGAGTATCACTGGGCTACAAGACCCCTGCCCTCCTGTCCCTTTCTTATTGGTAGGAGATCCTCAGAAGAGCATCAGTCCAGGCCCCTGTCAGTTTCCAGCAGTACCCCAGTACTGCTGGAAACCAAGGTATACTATTGCTTGTTCCTAGGTTTGTGTACCATTGAGGATTTTCTGTGTTCTACCATGTATAATATCCCATTTAATCTTGATAACTGCCTGGGGGTTGGGGAAGGGAGCAGTTTCTAGAATAGGTATTGAGTCGCCTGCCTTTGGAAATAAATAAAATGGGACTCAAAGAGGTTACTCAGCCGTCAGTGGGAAAGGTGTGGAAACTGCATATAAATAGACAAGTAATTTCAGGGCCGTGGAGTAGATAGAGAGCTCATTTTCAAATAGCTTCTGAGAGAAGTCTTTGTCTGGCAGTTTCTGGCCCGGATTCTCTTGTCTGTCTCTCCAGAAATCTGCATTGTATTCACTGTGTGTCCCAGTCTTGGCCATATACCCATTTCACAGAACAGTTCCTCCTCATAGGACGCTGCATCCTTTTAAAAGGCCTTTTTCTTTTTATCCTTCTGCCTCCTGTAGGGGTGTTTGAGCTCTTTCTTCACTTATAGTTCAACGAAGCCAAGCCTTAGTCTGTCCCTTTGGGATGAGCTATTGTTCTACATTAATAATTAACCTTTACAAGAGGTCTGGTCGTAGGCATTTAACCCAGATTCAGAGAAAGCTGAAGTTTGGTTATGACAGAGAGATCTCACATGTTGGGGAGTGGGAGTTAGAAGGGAGAAGCTGTCGGTCATTAAACTTTTATCGTTTGTTTTCTCGTTTAGTCACTTGAGTGTTTGCCTAAGGATCTTGCAGTTTTTCCCCTTTGCACATGGTCAGTCCAGTAGAGCTAAGATGAGAAATTTAGCTTTTGAATTGGGAAGATGAATATGCATGATTTTCTATGTATTATTAAAGATGAGCTTCATGGGTGCTGGTAGTAACTGTTGTTGTTCTGAGTGTGCACAAGTGGTAAAGCACATGGACTCCGGAGCCTAACTCCTGGGTTCAAGTCCTGCTCTGCCAGTTACTGGCCACGTGACCATGGGCTGGTTCCTTAACTACTCTCCATGTCTGTTTCTGCATCTGTAAAATGGGGGAACGATGGTAGGTATCTCAAATGGGTGTTGTCAGGATCTAATGGGATGCTAGGCTTCAGATCCTTAGCACAGTGCCTGGTAGTAGGTGCTCAGTAAATATTAGCATTGTTATTATTTTCAGTGTTATTGACTATGGTTACACCCATGGTGAAGGTCATCTAGTAGGTGAGACATTTTCAATTCTTTGTTGTTAGTTAGATATTAAAAGGCAAATATCTCTGCTTGCTTCTCTCCTGGTGCTGGAGAGAAGGGAAGAGGTCCTACAGCTTGATGTTAGGGATTAAATAGTATATACTGGAATGACTCATCCAATTAACTTTTTATCACTGAGATGGATTGTAAGACTTTAGCACTTAAGTCTTGTTACTTTATTAAAAAAGGAGAGGATAAGACAACCTTCTCTGTGGAAGGGATAAAATGAGTTAACAGCCACGACAGCCACCCCCAAATAGCTGAGATTTTTATGCCCATACCATGTGCCATTTCTAAGTGCTTTGCATGTATTAACTCATTTCATCCTTAAGAAATAGTCTACTCCTATATTCGCATTTTCAGAGGAGGAAGCAGACCCAAGTAAGTTAAATAACTTTGAAGTTCACACAGCTTAGAAGTAGTGGATGTGGGATTTGAACCTAAATGGGGGTCCTCATCTAGAATTTGAATAAGACAATGTGAAGGACCTAGCAACGTGGTTTGCGTAACCAATACTCAGACGCTAGCCCCTTTGCCTTCTGTTTTTGCTTGTTTATTATTATAGTATGGATGTGACATTGCATGGAGATCAGAGGACCAAGACCTATCCAAGGTTACTGCATCAAAATTCAGTTCTAATAACAGCAAAACCTTTTTGAAATTCTGATCTTGGGGAACAAGTTTAATCCCTGCTTTTATTTGGATTATACCGGGTTTAGAAAGTCACAGTAGGTTTTTAAAAAATGTTTTAGGGTGTTCCATTCTCCCACTGTGTGTATATAGAGGACGTGTGCAATTGTGCAAAAAAAATATAGACCTCCTTCTCCACCAGTGCTTAACACTCAATAATCTTCTTTAAAAAGAAAAACAGTACAACAGGGTAGAGTGAAAAGTAAGTCTCCCTCCACTCCTGAATATTAATCCCACAAATCCTCTCCCCAGTGACAATTTTATAGTTTCTTGTGTTTCCTTCCAAAAATGTTTTATGCATTTACAAGCATATATGCATGTAACACACACTTCCCAACACACACACTCTTTGCACAATGGTAGCATAATGCACGCTGTCCTGTTCCTTACTAATTTCACTTAATGTTACTCAGAGTATCTGTGTCAAAACTGGGAGCACTACCTTGTTTATTAGGGCTGCATAATGTTCCATTTTAAAGATGGGCCAGTCTGTTACTGCTGGTCATTTAGGTTGTTTCTGGTCTTTTACTGAGGACATTTCAGTAAATATCTCTGTAGGTAAGTATCTGTGTCTGTGCAACTCAGATTTCTACTTGCAAGCTTGATTTCTACTTGCAAGCTTGATTGATTTCTACTTGCAAGCTTATATTGTTTAACTTTCTGACAGTGCAAAAAATTGGCCAGAAGGAAACAGACAAAAGGAATATAATGGAAATATAGGGGCTTATTCAGGGCTTGTGGGCACCTCAGAGGTCTGTGCAGATGCTTTTTCAAGTGCTGTATCTCATGTTTCTCATTGTTTCAGACTGTTGTGTCCTGAAGCTTCATTTTGGGCCTTTTCCCTGGGTGCCCAGTGAGCAATGGATGGTTACTGTTTGCAAGATTGATTCATGTAGCACTTGTCTGGCTTTTGACAGGTTGTTTATAAGAATAATGACATCCGTCTGGAGCTGTCTCGCTTGGCCAGAATTGGGGACACCAAGATGAAAATCTACGGTGAGGTTGTATTCAAGTGTGAGAATGTGGCCACACTGGACCCCATCAACTTTGAGACCCCGGAGGCTTACATCAGCTTGCCCAAATGGAACACCAAACGCATGGGCTCTATCTCCTTTGACTTTCGCACCACTGAGCCCAACGGCCTGATCCTCTTCACTCACGGCAAGCCGCAAGAGAGGAAGGATGTTCGGAGCCAGAAGAACACCAAGGTGGACTTCTTTGCCGTGGAACTCCTCGATGGCAACCTGTACCTACTGCTTGACATGGGCTCAGGCACCATTAAAGTGAAAGCCACTCAGAAGAAAGCCAACGATGGGGAATGGTACCATGTGGACATTCAGCGAGATGGCAGATCAGGTAGGAAGAAGCAGGGTGTGTGACTGAGACTAGGGGAAAGCTTCTGCTTCCTTATATTTTTTTATTTTAGTTTTTGACTTGTTTACTTGTTGATTCTTTTGCTGTTCTCCTTAATGCTTGTTATATGATTGTGTAAGATTATGTTTCTGAACCAGACACCTGTCTCATCGATGGCTGGCATTCTCCTCATCTCCCCTGTCACTCACTGCACAATGGTCTCAGCGATAGCTCCAAGACCCTGGGGCTAAGGATGGTTTTACAAGCAGCATTTCCACTGCTACCAAAGTGACTGTCATGTCACTTGTGTGATGGGTTTTTTCCCTCTTTATTCTCCTTTTTCCATCACCATGGAAACCAATTGTGACATCACAGATGCTGCATTATGTGATTACTCTGTAGGATAAGCTGCACTGTGCAAGAGTTTATGCAGTGATACACCCTTCAGTAATTGGCAAGAGTCACATTGCAGGGAAAAATTATGACAAGAAAGGAAAAGGCAGATTGATTTTTCCTAAAGTCATGTTCAATTTAAAGCCTTCCTTTGGTGTGAAAGCCTATATTTCACTCTTTGCTCAGACCTTACTAACTTTCCCTTCCTCTTCATAACCTTTTACATTGGGTTTAGACGGCTTTGTTTGTTTCTGCAGCCGCAGACCAAACAAGCTAGCCCCAGGCAGTACATAGCCACTCTGGAATAGTAACAAAGCGGGGCAGGGGAAGGAAACACAAATACTGAGTCTGAGGCTTTTGAATGCCTGAACAGTCTGCCTCACTTTCTGTGGACATGTGGCAGTGAAGGTCACATTCTGTGCCATCAGAAAGGGCATTTCAGCCAGAGTAGTAATTAGAGCATTTGAATTTCACACTTATTTCCTGATTCTCCATTTAGGTAGTATTGTACTCAGTAAGGGTCTTGGCTATATTTTCATATTTTTAAGGATTTACTCTCCTGGTAAACACAAAAATGTCTTCCTTTTAGACATTTTTGCATTTGGCCAACAATAGAAAGCAATAGGTTCCCCTAAAAGGCTGTAGCCACTAATGGCTGAGCTTGCGGGGATGGCTTTTCTCCGTAATTCCAGAGCTAGAGGGGTGGCGGAGATGAGCAGTGTTGCCCTTAGGTAAGCAGCTGGTTGGGTTCTGTGCAGAGGGCAGACAGGTGGCAGATTGCAGACCTGGATGGTTTATTGCCCAGCAGGATGCCTTATCAATTGCCTGAAATTTGATCAGAATCAAGAGGCTTCAAAGTAAATGTGCTTGTTGGGCAAGAATGAACACTTTGTTCTTTTTTAAGAGAAAAATACACAAAAAATCATTTCTGAGGCCAAATCTTTTGAAGTTTATCCATTAAAAAGTGTCAGCAGGGGCAGAGAGCTAGAAAGCTGCCTCAGAATTATAAGGGACACACTCCTGTTGGTTTTTAAGGCTATGCGTTTTGGGACTCTGGAGTTCAGACATGGTTGATGGGTTTCATGATTGACTAACCTAGACCTTGGCACAGCTTAAATGTCACCTATCTGTGTCACAGGCAGGCTAGAACATGTAAAATTGCCACATGTCTGTTTCTGATATTCTCAACACTAATTGCCTTTTCAAGTAGGGCAGTTATTTTGTTTTGTTAGAACCAACAGTAGACCCATTTTTTGACAAATAAGTTTGGATTACAGAAGCCTTAAATTTTATACCTGGGTGCTATGGCATTGGCTAATATTTTGAAATACTGATAAATTTGATCAAAGCCTATAAAAATTTACTGAGTAAACAAACAGTTGTCATGTAAAAGCAGCATAACAAAATTTTAATATGATATACTAAACTTCATTTCTTCATGAGGATATTTTCTGGTATGTTCTTACAGACCTGTATTAAAATGACTAGTTATAGAAACACAAGTGTATCTAACTGTGGTACCTCCTTCTCTGCTCATCCTGAAGGATATGACTGAGAGGTGATCTCGGGAATCTTTCATCTTCATTCCCCAGCTGAGGGACTGATTCTCAAAACAGTTGTGGTCCCACACTCTGAGGATGAATTTTCCTCAGGATGTATTTAAGGGTCCACTATTTAAATCAGTTCGGGTACTGTTCTTACTTGGCAATAGATGCTCCTCCCTGTTAGTTGGTGATCAGATTGACTCTGTGGACATGTGGTGGGTAAAGAAAGCAAACTGCAAGGGAGAAGAAAAGTACCCAAGCCTCAACCTCCTCATTTGTGAAATAGGGGAAATACGAATGCCTACCTCACAGGATTGTTTTGAGGATTGAGTCCAGAAAAGCACAGAAAGTACTAAAAATGGTGGCTGGGACATTTTTATTGTTATGTAGGTTTTTAAAAGATTAAAAAGCAAACAGGCAAAGCAGATTTCTCCAGGAGAAAACTTCCAGGGAAGAGTAGGGGGAAGCAGGCCTAGCTGAACCCTCCAGAGACCCCTCACGCTCTTTCTACTCTTCTGTCCCTGGGGTGACTGTGATTTAGAGTGTACTTCACTTTCTTGATCTCATTTGATCTTCTAGGCCCTTCAGGCTTTCCCCTGTCATAGCTGAGGGAATTGAGACTCAGATAAGTGAAAGCTGGCTGATGGATGGCCCAGTTATCTTGGTACCAATAAAGCACTTTAAGAATAGTAAATTTCTCAAATTTCTGGCATGAAGTTTAGATGTCACTCTGATTTAACAGTTTAGGAAATTGAGCTGTTGAGGAAATCGAGGGGTTCAGTGACTGGTACAGGGTCAGAAAGACTAGAATCCCTGTTCCCAAGTTCCCAGGTAAGGCTCCAGGGTTACATCTTCTGTGATTTCATGTGCCTGGTCTAGCTCTGATCTCATCTCTTCTTGACTTCCTCTGGCCCCCTGTACTCTAGCCACACTCCTGCCTGTCCCAGGGCCTTTGTAGGTGCCATTCCCTGTGCCGGGCACATTCTCCCCCTGGGACTTGGCATGGTTGGATCCTTCTCAACATCCTGGTTTCAGCTTACCGACCGTACACTTTAAAGTTGAACCCATGGGCTGCTGTAGCACCCATTTTACTCTCTTCCTCCCACTCGCCATTTTCCAATTTCTGTTTATTGGGTGATTTGTTTATTTTCTGTTCCTCTGCTGAGGAACATCAGCTCCATGAGAGCAGGCATGCCTGTCAAGTTCATGTATGTGTCTAGAACTATACTAGAGACAGAACAGGTGTTCAATACATGTTTGTTACATGAGTACATAAGGAAACATGTTTCGAAGATGATGGAGGAGTAAGACGTGGAGATCACCTTCCTCCCCACAAATACATCAGAAATACATCTACATGTGGAACAACTCCTACAGAACACCTACTGAACGCTGGTAGAAGACCTCAGACTTCCGAAAAGAAGGCAGAGCACCACCTAAACAAGCTCCAGAGATGGGTGTGAGCCGTGCTATCAGCACGGACACCAGAGACAGGCATGAAACGCTAACGCTGCTGCTGTAGCCATCAAGGAGCCTGTGTGCAAGCACAGGTCACTATCCACACCCCCCAGGAGGCTGTACAACACCCCACTGCCAGGGCCCTGTGTTTCAGGAACGACTTCCCCGGCAGAACACACATCACGCCTCAGGCTGTTGCAATGTCACACTGGCCTCTGCCACTGCAGGCTCGCCCCACATTCCAAGTATAACAACCGTACCCCTCCCTCCCCCGGGCCTGAGTGAGCCAGAGCCCCCTAATCAGCCTCTGCTTTAACCCCCTCTTGTCCGGGCAGGAAGAGATGCCTGAGGGCGATCTACACGCAGAGGTGGGGCCACAACCAAAGATGAACCCCAGGAGCTGTGCAAACAAAGAAGAGAAAGGGAAATTTCTCTGTGCAGCCTCAGGAGCAGCGGATTAAATCTCCACAATCAACTTGATGTACCCTGCATCTGTGGAATATCTGAATAGACAACGAATCATCCCAAAATTGAGGTGGTGGACTTTGGGAGCAGCTGTAGACTTGGGGTTTGCTGTCTGTGACTGATTTGTTACTGATTTTTATGTTTATCTTAGTATAGTTTTTAATGCTTGTTATCATGGGTGGATTTGTTTATTGGTTTGGTTACTCTCTTCTTTTTTTCGTTCCTTTTATTCCCTGTGTTTTTTTGGTTTGTTTGTTTTTTTTGCGGTACACGGGCCTCCCACCGCTGTGGCCTCTCCCGCCACGGAGCACAGGCTCCGGACGCACAGGCGCAGTGGCCATGACTCATGAGCCCAGCCGCTCTGCGGCACGCGGGACCCTCCCGGACCGGGGCACGAACCCGCGCCCCCCGCATCAGCAGGTGGACCCCCAACCACTGCACCACCAGGGAAGCCCTCCCTTTGTTTTTATTATTAGGTTTTTATTTTAATTATTTAAAAAAATTTATTATTTTTTTTCTTTCTTTTCCTCTTCTCCCTTTTCTTCTGAGCCTTGTAGCTGACAGGGTCTTGGTGCTCCAGCCTGCTGTAAGGCCTGAGCCTCTGAGGTGGGAGGGTGAGTTCAGGACATTGGTCCACCAGAGACCTCCGGGCCCCACGTAATATCAACTGGCGAGAGCTCTCCCGGAGATCTCCGTCTCAACACTAAGACCCAGCTCGACTCAACTGCTAGCAAGCTCCAGTGCTGGACGCCCCATGCCAAACAACTAGCAAGACAGGAACACAACCCCACCCATTAGCACACAGGCTGCCTAAAGGCATACTAAGTTTACAGGTACCCCCAAACATACCACCATATGTGGCCCTATCCACCAGAAAGACAAGTTTCAGCCCCACCCCCAGAACACAGGCACCAGTCCCCTCCCCCAAGAAGCCTACATAAGCCACTGAACCAACCTCCCCCACTGGGGGCAGACACCAAAAACAACGGGAAGTACGAACCTGCAGCCTGTGAAAAGGAGACCCCCAAACACACTAAGTTAAACAAGATGAGAAGACAGAGAAATATGCAGCAGATGAAGGAGCAAAGTAAAAACCCACCAGACCAAACAAATGAAGAGGAAATAAGCAGTCTACCTGAAAAA